AAAGTTATAAATTATAGTTATATAGAAATATAATAAAAAAATAAGAAGTAAAACTAATAAAAATGACAAAGGCACATAAAATTAAAATGGAAACAACATAAAAATAAAAGCTAATTCTAAATATTAATTCAACATTAATTCAAATATGTTTGTAAAAAAGTTACAAATTAAAAGCTATATAGAAATATAACTTAAAAATAAGAAAAACTAATAAAACAATAAAAGCACTTAAAATTACTAAAACTTAAACCAAAATTAAAATGAAAATTGAAAATATAAAATTAAAGGCTAATTCTAAATATGAAGTCAATACTAATTGAAAAAAAAAACTATATAAATTATACTAAAAAAGCACTGCTCTGAAACAACTTTTCCACAATTTCAAAAAAATAAACAAAAAAAAAAAATATATATATAATATTTATATAAAATATATATAAAAGCTAATTCAAAACATTAATAAATACTACAATACAGAGGGCTGCATTGAGGCTGGGATCCCAACTTTCATTTTTCACATTTTCAGAGGTAAAATTGGTTGCAAATGCCATTCAGGTTGACTTTAAAAGGTTCACCAGTGAAATCTGGCTGAAAAACCCTTTCTACGAATGTTTATTCTTAAGATGTAAAGATGAAATATGTTTAATCACGCAAATGAATGAATGGTTAGAGGAAGAATATCACCTGTAAAGCTTCAGATATTGTATCATCATTACATAATCTACAGCAACCACAGAGGGGAAAACTGACACGCAGAAATGCATATATACAGCACATCACATGCATGTCTTGGAGTTTCATTCTGCGGTTTGTGAGATCTCTAATACCTCCATAATTTCTCCCAGACAGCAGTGAGAGATCAAATGGACAGAAATCTCCTGCTTCTCAGATGTCTCTCCTCAGAAAACGAGGCCAGTGAATGAAAGAGAGCAGCTGCCTGAAGACAGAACGACTCGAAGTGACTTTGATGTGGAGTGGATCCTCTTGAATGTGGACTGGAGTGGATCAAATCCACGAGCCACAGGCATTGATTAGAGAAACAGCTCAAAACTCAAACCCACACACTTTCTACAGATAAAAAGCACTCAGCCACTCTCAGAGGAGACGGTTTCTCAACCACACGCCTCTATCTGTCTGAATAACACCGCAGCTACAGTACCACCTCAAACTATTCATAAAAACCCTTCATCATAATATAAAGATACATTGTTTCCACTAAATTTTTATGAAAATGATAGCATAGGCATGTATGATGGTATTTTTAATGTACTTCATGGCTACGTGTCTTAAAAATACAAAAATATGTATTTTAATGGTATTGTAAATATATATATAAACAAGCCATTACTGTGAAACAGTGTGTAAATAATGCATCATAATTCATTAATTTCACTACATTATTGATAAATTGGTATTTATACTACAGTTCGAAAGTTTGGGGTCTGTAAAATTGCTTTTGAAAGACATCTCATCTGCTCACCGAGGCTGAATTTATTTGATCAAAAATACAGCAAAAATACAGAAATATTTTTAGAATTTAAACCAGCTGTTTTCTATGTGAATATCTGTTAAACTGTAATTTATTTCTGTGATCACTCCAGTCATTACTCCAGTATCACATGATCTTCAGAAATCATTCTAATATTTGCTGCCCAAGAAACATTTGATTATTATCAATGTTGAAAACATTCATATTTTTGTGGAAACTGTGATGCATTTTATTTTTCAGGATTCACAGATGAATAGAAAGTTCAAAAGAACAGCATTTATTTGAGATAGAAATCTTTCGCAACATTATAAATGTCTTTACTGTCACTTTTGATCAATTTAATGCATCCTTGCTGAATAGAAGTATTAATTATTTTAAGGAAAAATAATGCAAATCTTATAGACACCAAACTGATGACAGGCATCTCACCTGATCCAGAGCTCATGCACAGCAGAGGCAGCAGATAACAGAGCACGGACACACGTACAGCAAACATGACGAGACCACGCCGAAAACACGTAAGAAACCGCATAAATCAGTTCAGACAGACGACCTCTGACTCCCCAGTGATGTAAACACCGTCTCCACCAATCAGCACGCAGATCACAGACAACTCAAGAGTTCATGGACACTAGAAACACATGCCTGATAAACACTGACAAGTGACTGTAAAGTGTGTATAATTCACACACTGCATCCTTAAATCAAGATGCTTTTACTTGAGAAACAAAATAGAATTGTTTTCTTAAAATTAAGTGAGAATCTGCCACTGTGCTCAGAAAAACAAACTTAACGCAAAAGGAAAACAAGGTTATTTTTCTGACCCCACTGGCAGCTATTCTTGTTTTAAACAAAAACTCACTTCATTTTCCAAAAAAATCCCAAGTCATTTTACTTCTCAAGTAAACGCGTCTTGATTAAAGAACGTTTAGATATTCGTACTAAAAAAACACGACAAACCGTTCAGGGCTTGATGATTATTATTAGTGGCTGATATGAGGATATTTATGAATCAAGAGCCATAAAAGAAGATAAAACCAACAGATTAACAGATGCGAGGTTCACTTATATGATGCTGATAACACGCCTTTATCAAATCAGACCATATTTCACACACTACATAAAGAGCAAAGTATAAACCGAGCACTTTGTGCATAAATCACAACACAATCTTCACGTACTGTACGTTAAAAATAAGATGGATAAAATAATAACTGATGAGATTAATCCAGTAAACTCTCAGCTATAACAGAACACAGTCTGTAATTAAATGCAGATGTTTTACAAACCCATTCAGCTCGAACACTTTGTGCTGAAATAAGCCTTAAAGGGATAGTTCACCCAAAAAATAAAATTGTCATAAAACATTTTTTTTTCAATACTATGGAAGTCAGTGGCCAGTATTTGGCTACCAAGATTCTTCAAAACATCTTCTTTTGTGTTCAGCAGAAGAAAGAAACTCTTAGAACAACTCTTAGATTTAAATTTTTGAGTGAACTGTTCCTTTAAGAAATGGAACATAAAGGTAACAACACATGTTTGTCATTTTTTCATTGCAATGTTGTTTATTATCTTTTCCAGTTTCAAATGTGAAAAGAGGCATTCATTTTTCTTAATTAAATACTTAAAGCAAAAAAGCAAAAAAGAAATATTTACATAATTTCATTAAACTATAATCAATAACTAGAGGAGGATACTTATACAAGCTGGGTGGTGAAACAGCAAAAAAAAAGGGAAAAAATAAAAAAAATAGAGAAAAAAAATTAATACATGGCATTAAATTTAGCATTTTTATTATTTAAAAAACAAAACAAAGTATGTATTTACAGGTCGCTCTCGAGGGAGCTGAAAGGCATGTAGTATTCGTACTCTCTCATTCTCCAGCTTTTTTTTTTTT